CAAAAAAAATTCTCCATCAAGTAATAAGTTCTTTTCACTGAAGCTTTGTTAGACTTGGCAAAGCCTCATCACCAGTGGGTGATGATGAAATCATTACATCAATTCTCTCAAAGCCTTACCCCACACATGTACACACCTCTTATCCGAACAGTAATTGCCTCTCCAGAGAGAGGAATATATTCATCCTACAATTTGGAGACAAATTTGGCAAGTGCCTACTAACAGTTATCCCACCTTGAGGCAGTGGCGGGAGAACAACTGGACCCACACCTGTTGGGGGCATGCATTCTTCTTCTTCTTCATATGTTGTAGATGGACACAATATCTTTATTTTATTTATTTATTTTTATGTGGTGCTGAGGATCGAACCCAGTGCCTCATGTGTGCGAGGCAAGCACTCTACCACTGAGTCAAAATCCCAGCCCCTAATGGATGCTTTTGATTATGCAGCCAGCAAATATTTACCATAGACTAGTTTAATTCACATTTCAGCTTTCTGGGCACACCAAAAAATATCAGGCAACTGATCAAAATGACTTTAGTTTCCCCTAAGCATTTATACATAAGACCAAAAGGCCTTTATGAGAATCTTTCAGTATTGGTAATTTATATATCCTATTAGATTTGCTGCAGTAGATTATATATTATCCCAGTTGCAGGATCTCAGTATTTATAAAAGCAACCATTTAGCTGGGCACAGTGACAAACTCCTGTAATCCCAGAGACTCAGGAGGCTTAGGCAGGAGGATCACAAGTTTGAGGACAGCCTGAGCAATATAATGAGAATGTGTCTCAAAAAATAAAAAGGGATGGGGGGTGGGCACAATGGCACATGCTTGTAATCCCAGCAGCTCCGGAGGCTGAGGCAGGAGGATGGCAAGTTCAAAGCCAGCCTCAGCAATGGCAAGGTGCTAAGCAACTCAGTGAGACCCTATCTCTAAATCAAATACAAAATAGGGCTAGGGATGTGGCTCAGTGGTCGAGAGCTCCTGAGTTTAATCCATGGCATACACATCCCCCAACAAAAGGGATTGGGAGGATAAAGCACCCCTGAATTCAACCCCCAGTACTGGGAAAAAAAAATATCCGTTTGCATTCAGTAATTTTTAAAGTCTTTAACAAACTAATAAAACTATCAAAAAAACAACAACACTAAATAAAAAATTTTAAAATGTTAATATATTAAAAGAACTCTAAATAAGGGTTGTGGCTCAGTGGTAGCACGCTTGCCTAGCATGCATGAGGCACTGGGTTCGATTCTCAGCGCCACATACAAATAAATTAAATAAATAAATAAAGGTTCATCAACAACTAAAAAATATTTCCAAAAAAAAGAAGAAGTTAGAAAGAATTAAAAGACTGACTTAGTGGGGCTGGGACTGTGGCTCAGTGGCAGTGACTTGCCTTGCATGTGTGAAGCACTGGGTTCAATCCTCAGCACCGCATAAAAAATGAATGAATAAATAAATAAATAAAGGTGCTGTGTTCATCTACAATTTAAAAAAAAAGTTGGTTTTTTGGTTTGTTTGTTTGTTTGTTTTTTAAAAAGACTGACCTGGTGGTCAAGAAAGCAATATTTCAGGGATGGTCAGCATTCTTAAATTAGGTTTTCCAAAAAACTCAACATTATTAGAAATCATTAAAAGCTAATGTTTTCAGAAAGAAGGATTCACCTTTTCTCTTAATCCCTCCATCAGCTGAAAAAGCCTCACACATCTCTATCTAGAACATCTTTGCCTTATACCAACAATGCATCATGTAAACTAAAATGATTAATGTTCTTGGATCTTCCTGCTTTTTAAAGTAACTTTTTTTTTAAAAAAATCACATTTGAACAAGAGTACAGTGTAAAGTCAATCATGAATTACCAGTTCCACTTTCCTATTTTTAGCATAATGGTAATATAGAAGTTTTAGAGAAATCTAAATCATGATTTTTTTAAAACAAGGAAATCTTCCTAACCACATAAGCCATCTATTTACCCAGCCCTCCTTCATAAGTCACCCCCCAAAAAATCAATTCAAGTAAGTTATGCTTATTTTCCTCAAAAGACTACCATATTCCTTGGATTTTAAAAACCTTCTTAATGCATTTGCCAAATTTGGCTGATTTCATCCTCAGACAAATCTAACTGTTCCCACAGTTTGGGGTAAAAGGAAGTTGATGCCAGGAGGAAATTCTATATTAATTGCACCAGGACCCCTCATTAAAGCCTCCATAACTTCAACAAGCCAGTGACAGGAGTAGAAATCATCCTACATGTCTTCAAACAGAGCCTCTTAGGGCAGACACTACCATCCCCAAAACCAGATATGGGAAATAAGGCTCTGATGAAAAACAATTCACCCTATGTCGCTGAACCCTCTGTAGCAAAACCAAGACTAGTGAAAAGAGAGGGTGGGAACTCAAATTTAACGGAGAATTAGGGCTTTGATCATACATACACCATCTGCATACATACAAACATACATACAGAAAACTAAATTAAGAGAAGTGAGTTCCTCTGCAGAGAGGGTCCCAAGGAAAAAAGCAATATTCCACACTGAAAAAGAGTTTCCAACAGAAGGTCTTATGATAAACACGTTTGTGAAGGCTGGGCAGGGCGGAAAAGGGTTACTCAAATTACTCCAGCAGAGTTCTTAACAGGGCTCCTTCACCTCTCTGGTCTTACAATCTAATCTGGTTTAAGAGCACACGGGCTCTCTCTTCTCCCAAATTCCATCAGGCTTAATAACCTCTATTCAAAAGAAGCATAAGTAGGCACTAGGGCAGAGGGAAGTGACCTACCCTCCCTCCAGGTCAGCTGTCAGATCTACAGGGCGCGACCGTGAGACAGCACAAGAGACCCCCCCACACACACTCGATCAGGATCCTCACCTTCCCACTCCCAGTCCTGGCCCAGTCCTGGCCCAGTCGCCACCTCGTTAACCATCCCATCACCTCCCGAGGCACAAATAATTACACTGGAAGAATTTGTTATAACAAGTAGGAGCCCATATTCAACAACTGGCTTCGCAACTTGACAGACGAGGCTCTAAAAAGGGAGGGGCAGGAGAATAATTGTTCTAAACAACGTCTACGAAGTCGGGGAGGTTGAGGCGGCCATGGAGGGAGGGGAGCCAAGACAAACGACCCCTACGTTTTAGGGAGGAGAAAGCCTTCCCACCAACAACCGAGGTTATAAATGTATGTAATTTTTTTTAAAGACGACCTTTCACGCTATGACACTTGTGGGGTATTTCTTATCTGTTCCTCCACTTGATGGGTAAAGAGGGGGTTCAGCGGCTCCCCAACCCAGAATGTAAAAACCATGGCCTGGAAAGTAACAAGGTGACTCAGTTTTATTAACTCCAGAAGGGTCCACCTGCCATCCCGCAGCCGCCAGACCAGCACGACAGCCCAAGGCCCGCACGCCCACCTTCCCGGCGAGGTGTTTTTCAGAGAGCGGCTTTGCGCGCTCCCTGGCCTGCCAGCTACCCTCACCCTCGCGGTGTCTCGGACCAGCAGCCTGGTTAATCATTCAACGCGGGCAGCGTGGAAATATTTTTAGAGGTCAAAGCGAAAGGTTCTCCCTAAGTTTCGCAGAAACCAGTCTATGGGGAACCGGAGGTGGCAGCGCAAGAGGTTGGGGGTGGGGAGCGGGTGCCGGCGGCTCCCTGGCTCACAAAACACCTGATCTCCCCATGCGGCACTGGAGACCAGCGCAGTGCGAGGGTGGGGTGCGGGGGTGCCAGAGAGAAATCGCACACGGCTCCCCTCCCCCAAATACCCAGATACCCCAGAAGAGGACGCCCCGACCCAGAAGCCCCTTCCCAAATCCTGCAGCCCTGGGCGCCGGATCCCCCGGAAGTTAGGGTGCAGAGAGGAGGGGGAATGTCCCTGGGCCCCAGGGGGTGGGTGTGGAATGGAGCAAGAGGCTCCAAAGACGCGCAACTGGGGGTTTCGTTATCCTCTTCATCTAGGGTTCGGAAGATGCAGAAACCACAGGGGAAGGCAAGAAGCGTAAATGCGGCAGAAGCCACCTAGGAACGGTTTCCTCCGCCGGGGCGCCGGTATGGAGCCGGAACTGGAGAGGAGGTGGGAGGAAAGAGGGGGTCCAGTCAGGGGGCCCCGGAGCAGGGAGTTGGGAGGGGGCGGACAGAGTGGGCCCCGGTAGGCAGCGGGGGAGGGAAGAGCGAGAAGAAAAGAGGTGGGGGTGACCACCCGCTAGGGCCCTACCTTGTCCAGGAGCAGCTCCAGCTCGGCGGGGCGGGAGATCTCGGCCTCATCCACGTCCCAGCCGCTCCGCGCGGCTCAGCCCGGCGACCGCCGCCGCTCACGCTCCATGCGCGGCGCCCGGGACGGGCGGCCCGGCGGAGTCTGCGGCGTGAACAGTTCCGGCTCGCCTCCAGCACTTGTTGCCGCCGCTGCCGCTACGCCTCTCTCAAGGCTCCGGCTCCCGGCGCCGCGGCTGACTCCCGGCGCCTGCCCTGGGCCCGCCCCCGACCGACGCGCCAATCAGGCTCGGCGCCGCCCCTCGCGTCACCGCCCAACACCGGAGTCCGCCCCGCGCCCCAAGTTTTGGGAAGGCCGGTCTCCTGCCGGCCAGCTACTTGGCTCCCAGGACCCGCCCAGGCTCGTGCTTCCCGTGGCTTCCGGGGACCCGACGAACTCCACGTCCACACCTAGCAAGCAAGGGGTTACACTGGAGAAAAGGGACCCCCTAGGAAATAAACCCTTCTCGAAAAATAGGGCAGCTTGAAACTTTAAAAAATCACTTTTAATTCTGGTCTAACTTAAATGTCTTCAGTTGGCCCCTCTTTTCAGTCCGCTCGATGCAAGGAAAGAAAGCGCCACACTTGATGAGGACCCCAGTGAGCTTTCCTGGCCAGGGCTAGTGTGTGACTGGGCCTAGAGTGAATCCCAGCCGCCCCTCAGGTGCAGGGGTGGGTTAGAAATCGTTCGGCAGTGGGAGATGGGGGGGGGGGGGGGGGTACAGGGACAAAGTGGAACCTGACCTTTGTTTCATGCCCACTCAGTACCTGCAGCCACCTCTTGGATGCCCGAGGTCTAGGGTGGTGCCCACTGAGCACTGCCACAAGATCCTCGGGTTTTTGAAGCTGCCCAAGACCTTTGGGGAGTCTTGTTCCTCCTAGCAGTGAAGTGCAGAGGATTTCCTCGAGGTCCCCCTCGTGTCTCAGGAAGCCGGAAATGCAAGGTGCCTGGCGCGGGGCTGCTAACCCGACGCCGCAGTCCAAAATGCAGGTACCTAGGCATAGCCAAATAGCTGAACGCTGACCCCTCGCGACATTGCTCGGCTAGGCAAGCTGGATGGAGGCTAGGCGTCAACCACACCCACCAGCCAGACCTCTCTGAGCACCGAAGCGTCCTCCTAACCCAGCGCCCCTGCTGTCTCGCCAGAGCACTGCATGCCACTAGGAGTCCGCCGGCTGACACCACTTTAGGACCCCAGGTAAACCTGGCGCGACCGGATGGAGAAGTTGCGCGGGTTCGAAAGGTCCAGCCTAGCCGGTAAGACCCTCCCAAGGTGCACCTGCAAGCGCTGCCTCACCTTGTCCTTACTCCCCTGGGCTGAAAATGATCCCCTCTGGGTAATCGTTCTGAGGAATTAACTATTTGCAATTATTATTATTTTTTTCTCAGAAAGCTGTCAAGAGGTGAAGTTAGCCAAAGGGAGGGAATTGCTAATGTAAGAAATTTCGGGTACCTTCAAATTCAGCTCAATCCATCATCACCATCAGCACTTAAAGAGCACATTGTCGCTGGATGCACAGAACCACGTGGGTACGACCCTCTAGAAATAAGGACTGTGAGTCAGTGGATCTGGAAGGGCTATGAATTGCAGTCTCAAGATCTTCCTGCTTTTATGTTGATCACATGATTTTACTAAGACTATGACGTGAAATCCAAGAAACAAGTTGTATTTTGTGCATTCATAGGAGAGACATTTGGATTGATGCACATGGACCATTAACCATAGTTACTGGAGTTTGGGATTGGGGCGGGTAAGAAAGGGAGGTAAATTTAAAAGGGCATACAAAACTTGAATGTTGTTTTTCCAGTTTTATTTATTCCCATAATTTATAAAACTAACAAAACTTTTAAAGAAACAAATTAGAAGAAATCTACAGAAACTGTACATTAATAGATAAATCAATTCGTGTAAAAATAAATAATCTTAAGTCATGTCCCTTGGTTTAAATAAAGATGTTTGTAGGCTCTGTTTTGATCTTTAAATGTTGTAAGGGGGCAAAGCTGATATTTGAAGAAGATCCTTCTAAGCTATCAAAATGATATTTTGTTACTGTGTGAGTTTCTTCTTTTAAAATTCATTCCCAGTAGCCACAGACATGCTTTCAAGGACTGCCAGCCAAGCAGTTTTTAGTAAAGGAACTGCTACAATGTCAGCTGGCAACCAACAAGAAAATTAAGCTTGTGTCCTTCACAGCTGCCAAAGGCTGCCCAGGCCCTGAAATTTTAAAATAAGGGCATTCTCTCCAAGTTGCCATTAATTAGTCCAACTTGGAGTGTATTAGCAACAGTCGTTCTGCGACTTGGGGGAAAAATTCAATGTAGAATTCATACCCACTTATCTATAGTCCCTACTCTTAGTTAAGGACTGGGTTCATCATCAGTAGGTAGAGGTTTTATTCATTTATTCAACAAATATGTGCTAACTACTTATGAGGTGCAGAGCAGAGGGCTAGGCATTGGAGTAGTGAACATGGCAGACATACCGTTCCCTCTTGGAGCTCACAGTCTAGCTGGAGAAAGGGGTTTAACAATTGAATACACTTAAAAAATTGCAATTATGATATGAACCAAAGTGAATGTAAGGTGGTGGGACCATTTGGGAAGTCCAAGAGAAGTTCCTGGCTGATACAAGCTATCAAGGGTAAAGGTGGAGATGTAGGCAGGGTCAGAACATACAATACCTAGTATAGCGTGTTACAGAGTTTGGACCTTATCTGAAGAGCCATCTGAAGCTAGAGTTGTATGCTCAAATTTGCACCTTGGGGCCAGGCATGGTGGCACATGTCTGTAATCCCAGCAACTCAGGACTCTGAGGCAGGAAGATGCCAAGTTTGAAGTCAGCCTCAGCTACTTAGCAAGGCCCTAAGCAACTTAATAAGATCCTGTCTCAAAAAAGACTGGAGATATGGCCCTGGGTTCAATTACCAATCCCCCCCCCCAAAAAAAAATGCACCTTGGTTAAGATCACTCTGACTGCAATGTGAAGAAGGAAGTGGGGAGGGGTGGGACTGAAGGACGGTTAGGAAGGTGTTTGTCTAGAAAAAAATGGTACAGTCAATGAAAAGTAGATACCAACAAGACTTGGGTCATCATTCAGATAAGGAGGAATCAAGGAAAACTCCCAGATTTCTACTGATTCAATCAGGTGGATGATGGTGCCATTTTCTGATATAGGGAACCCAGGAGAAAAGGGTAGAATAAATGCTAACAACGTTCAAACAATAAATAGTTTGGGATGCCTGTGAGATGTCCAAGTAGAGATGTTGAATAGGTAGTTGGTTATATTCTGGTGCTTTGGGCAGAGGCTTGGCTGGTGTAACTGGTGTAGTTGTGATGGTGAAGCTACAGGAGTGGGGAGGTCTCATGGGAGAGAGGACAGTAGACCAGAAGGTGGCCTAGGACTGATCCTTGATGCATCCTTATCTCAGATCTGAACAGAAGCAAACTGTCTGGCAGAAGAAATTGAAGAGCAAGCAACTAGAGAGGCAGGAAGAAAGCTAAGAGCTTGAGGAGATGGGGGTAGCAGAGCCTAAAGGAGCCAAAGTGCTGTGAGAAAGAGGCAAGATTCAGCAGCCCTCAAGATATGAGACCAGTATGAAATAAAGACTGAATAACATCCACTTGATTTGGTGACCTTGGTGTCACAGACTTTTAAAGCAGGACTGGTGGAGTGAAGGCATAGGGCAAAGATTGGAATGGACTGAAGAAATGAAGAAAGGCACCGAGTGAAGGCAACTTTTGTAAGGTTTGCCTGTGCAACTCCAGGAAGAGAACTAGCTAGAGAGGGATGTTATGTCAGCAATGGATTTGCTCATTCTGGTTTATATATTTTTATATTTTTAGGATAGTATAATTTGAGTGTATTTAAACATAGATTGGGAGGATCCCATAGAGAGAGGAAGACAAAGGTACAGCAGGGAGAGGACATGAGTTTCCTATATCCAAGGGGGAACGGAATCAGAGTGAGTGGAAAGGCTGATCTCATGCAAGCGATCAACTTTACCTTTGTAACAGAAGGAAGAAGATTGCAGGAGGCTGCACCAGGGAGGTTTGGTATGGATAACTAAACCTTTTCACCTGAAGACTTCCTAATCTGTGACATAAGGAAGATTGTGATGACCAGAGAAACAGCCAGATAGCAAGACTGCATTACGTTCCACCTGAGGTTGCTGGCTTTCCTCTGTGGTTTCTTCCAACAGCTCAGTCGTCCACTCTGGCACAGGCCCAGGTGAGGGAATTGCTAGGGAAGAAGAGCAAAGAAATTGAGAACATTGGCCAGTGAGATCGACATGCTGCATGATCAGAGAGAAAGGACAGATGTCAATGGGCTGGAGAGCTCAAAGGGATCACATGAGAAAGAGAAGAGATTGGTCAGAGATGTGGATGCTTAATGTGGGCTCAGAGGGTGTGGGCTCAGAGGGTGACCTGTAGGGTCATGGCAAATCCAGCATGTGATAGGGGAAAAGTAGAGGAGAAAGTCGTTGAAGAATATTAGATCAAGGAGTTAAGAGGCAGCGTACTGGATGGGTCATCTGTATGAGTGAAGTTGTCCAGGATGTGGGCGGGCACTGGGGATGTGGTATGAAGGCCAGGAGTTAGAGCAAGGAAGAGGGAGTAAACAGGAGATCAGAAGATGGAAAGAACCAGGAAAGGAAGAGGGAATATGACTGAGGTGACAGTCTCCTCAAAGGAGCAAGACTGTTTGCAAGAGGTGGAGGAGTGGCAATTGGTAGAGGATCCACCCTCACCTCTGGACCCTGGGGGACACAGTGAGTGAAAGTCGACAGGTTCAACTCCCAGTGCTGCAAGGGAAGAAAAGAAAGTGAGTTAAATTTTGAGCAGAGGTGGATGAAGGATGGATGGATGGATAAACTGTCGGATGCACAGATTGATGAAACCAACATTGATTCAGCTTGCATGTTGAAGTCTATAGTTCCAAAAGACCATGTTGAAAGATTTTGGGGCAGTGGGTGAGTAGAAGGGATAACTCAGGTGCCAGGAAAAGCAGAATATTATGGCATGATGGAGGGAGAGAGGATCCATAAGCGAAGACGAGGAAGACTAGAGTGAGAGGCACAGTGGATTCTGCCTTAGTTGTCTCTTTATGAAGCCTAACTCATGTAGCTCTTCAGCCAGGGCCACATTCCCTCACTTTCTTTTCCTTCCCAAGATTTCCATCACAGCAAGCATGTGAAAGCCTCTCACCCTTCTCCCCACTTCTCTACTAGGGGTGCTGTTGTTACCAAACAAGCTCCTGTAGGCCCTGGGTGTGAGTCCGGAATCCCAGGCTTGTCCTACCTCTATAGGCCACCTCCCTTCTTCAGACAGCTTGTTGATCTCTTAGTCTCATTTCATTGTCTGTAAAATGGGGTTGCTAAAACTCACCTACCCCTTAGGGTTATCTCAAGGAATCGAGGAGTTAAGTACTTTCTACAGTGTGAAAAAAAGTCAGTGTGAATCACAAAAGCTAGTGATTTCCATGTAAAGAACCCCAATGTGGCCCCAGATACACCCGCATCTCTCCCAGTAGCCCTCCAAAGGAGACTGTGAGTCTTTGCTCCAGAGGAAGTTGTAATTTTTCCCCAGAGACAGGACAAACACATCCAAAACAATTAGCGAGGAATGCACAGCTGTGTCTGATTAAGTGCTAAATTGTAAGGTAAAGACAATAAGAGCTCCAAGAGCAGAAAAGGGAACAATGAACTAAATTTGAAAAATTCTGGAAGACTTCCTGGAGAAGGTGGGGTAGAGAGCACCCAGATTGCTCACTTATCCTAAGAACATTTGCAAACTTGCCCATTTCTTTGAGACTGCAAACACTGTTGATCTGACATTGCAACATCAGTCTACAAAGAAGTCGGGTCGTAGGTCATAGATGGCTCTCCCGACATGCCTGCATCTCAGCCTATTCTTGCTCCTGGAGCCCTGTCCCTTCTCAGTCATACTCATGTGCTCCTCCCAGGGGGACCTACAGCCTGGGCTACACAATGAGTCCAGGTGCTTTTCCCTGGGCCTCTCATCTTTGGATTTCCCATGACACCCTTTTTTTGTGTGTGTGGTGAGGAAATTGAGGCTGATCTTTACGAAATTTCCCATGCCCTCTGTTTGGTTTTAATATCCACCTGGTATTTTTTGCCAAGCCAGACAGCAAGCTCTTGAGCAAGCAGACTTGGGTGCCCCACCTTCTTATCTTTCAAGCTCTGTGGTTTGCTTTACTGCACCTGGCCAGCCTAGGGCACCTGTATGCCCACACAGCCAAAGCCTAGGTCATACCTTCCTTCTTTGTTCTTTACTGCCTCTGACTTGCTAGCTAGGAGCCCTACAGAGCTGCCACCCTGGACCCAGAGTTCAAGCATCTTGAAGCCAAGAGCTGGTTTCCACCACCTTGGTTCTAATGGAATTAGTTCCTATAACCCATAACCCTGTGGCCTGGTTGATGCCTCAGCCCTGTATCTCTCCCTCCTTTCCCCACAGGCCCATTAAAACTCTCAGTATACCTATGGGCCAGGCACACATAGATAGCATCAGCAACAGAAATTCCCAAACCACATACATTCTGTGAACTTAGATTATTCTAGAAGGATAGCAGTATTTTGCTAGTCTGTTAATCAGTCCCAGATGGGACTATGAAAACAATCATTGGTCAATGAATAAAAAATTAATTATCGATGGGAAGTATAGGATCTTGGCACTGAGATTCTTAAGAATTCAAATTCAAATCTCTTGAAACTGGCAAATAAGGAAAAGGCCCCAAAAGTAGCTTCTCTAAGGCCAAATACCGATACTGGAGATAGTATCTTGAATGTTAAACAATTAAGTCACAGGTTAAAAACCACCTGGCTCCTAAAGCAGATGCTTTGCTCCCAAGGTTACTGTGACTTTGAAACAGCAGAAAAACATAAAGCCTCATTATCAGATGCAGATACTAGAGACGAATGTCATGATTCCCAGAGGACTCGCTCCATATTCCACAGTCCTGATGCTAGAAGAACTCAAAAATTCCCAGGTTAGT